TCGCTTGAAACCATACAACTTTGCTATTGGACATTTTCTCCAAAATGCATTCTAACTGAAGATATTAGGGGGATCCGATACTTTTCGATGACCCTGTATAATGGGTTTTCTACAAAATAAGAGCTGTTACTTAAATTTTAAATCTTATGGTGAATTCGATCACACGCACTACATTGGATCAATGTATATTAAAAACTATTTTATATAAAATATCTCAATGCAATGATACAATTTAATCAACTTTGACAACGATACATATATATTTTGTTAAATAATGTATCATTAGATATATTTTGTTAAATAATGTATCATTAGATATTTGCTTAAAATATTTATATATCTAATTTTTATACATTTAACTTTGTTGATTTTATGTAAAGCAGTTTTAGTACGGACTGATCTAGCGTAGCGCAAGTGACCAAATTCGCTATTAAATCGTAAGAAATCAACCAATCATAATCAAATGTAAGAAGATTAATTGATTATGATTGGTCAATTTCTTAAGACTTAAGGCTTAGGTAATGGCTTATTGTAGAAAACCTCTAATTTGTGTTAGAATTTGAAATAGAATTCTGCTTTTAATTTTCTAAATCATAATCGTATAAAGTCCATTCTACAATTGCGTAAACCTAGGTATAAGTGGTTGTAGTTGTAAGAATTGATCAATCAATTCGAAAATGTGGAGAATATTCGATTGTAATTAGTCGATTCTTATAACTGTAGTCGTTTACAACTAGGTGCTTACACAATTGTAGATTGCGCTTAAAATGCAAAATTTTTGAAAATATATATACTAAATGTATAAATATATCAAAATGCACGATATATACGTATAAATAGAATTCTGTCCTGAAAAAACATCTGACACAAATTGTAGATCGTTTAAAATGGGCCTAAGAGAACACCTACGAGCATCATTATCGAGTAATTATTCGCCTCATTGCATCTATTATATAAAATTGTTACACCCTAGATAGCACATGACATTAATACAACGTATACGAACGTTCTTAAGAATACTTGTACATTCTTAAAATGTTCTATGAACTTCTTTAGAAGTTTGAATACAATATTGTATGGGTACAAAATTAAAAGTTGCCTCTATTATGTTTCTGGCAGAGCTTCATAAATTCATTCTGAATAGAAATATATTAATTTATACATACATATAATAATAGAGATAATAAAATTATTATTACTATTAACCGTATTTTATTAATATTCTGGGATAAATCCTCTCAAGTACGTGCAGTCTGTTGTATACATTTATGTTCATAAGTACATATAATGTAAACATATTGATGAATGGATTATATAGCATGAATAGCGTTCATAAATTACAATAAAACGATATATATAGATGTTCAGACAAAGAAACTTGATTAAGTATTTATCATAATGTATCTACAAATTACGATAAAGACATAGATGTACTATACTTTTATTTGGGGGAATTCCGTTTGTCCACAAATCGTTTGTCTACATCACTTTTGCCGACAGTTCGATTGCGCACAAAAATTATTGCCTACAGCTCGATTGCCTATACATGTACTATTTTCTACTTAAAAAACACGAATACTGTTTTAAAACACAAATTTGATGATTTAAAAACACGAATTCTCTATTTCAAAATAAATTCTATGCTTTAAAATACAAACAATGTGTTTAAAAAATACAAATAATTTTCTTACTTGATTTAATCTTAATTTTATATTTCTTGTAGCCAATAATACTT